CCCGGGAATAGCCCTCAGTTTCAGGCTGAAAAGGCTCAGGCCTTTTTTTGGTTAAAACGATGCAGGTCCTGTGGGCCCCGGATGTCCGGCTTTTGGGCTGAACCGTCCTAGGGTCTGCAGGCCCTTATTTCCAGGCCTTGAGCCTGAAATTCAGGCTTCCAGCGTGAACGACGCAGGGCCTGGAAAATGGCCCTCGTGTGCAGGCGCAGCATGTAACACCTTTCCTTCCCCTACGCATGCACACTCTCTACCGCCTGCGAGGATCTACTCTGAATGCAACTCATAGAACACTACTTACTAACCCTCTATCCTACTACTAACTTGCTGGGCAGCTATGGCTACTTCTCCTTCCCAGCGCCCAGATTCTCTTCCCCTCAGCGCATCTGCATTCCTCCAGCGCTACTGCCTCCTGACTAGCGCACAAGCACAACAGCACTTCCACGCGTTGAAGCCAGTGGGGATCTGCCTGCAAGTGAGGCTGGCCTTCTCTTTATAGTGGTGGCCTCCTTGTGTTGGGTCTGCATTGGCACGTTCAGGCCTTCCTTTGTCCCAGACCCTGCATTGCATGTGTCCCAGTACTGTCCCAATGAGGTCTGCTGCTGCTGAGGCCATTCAGCCTGAATTTTGGACTTAAACATCTGGATCTGGACTGCCTACCAGACTTAAACCAGAACTGGGACTTTGTTTGTTGACTTTACCTCTGAACAGACACAACTTCAGGACGAACAGACACACCTACTGCCTGAACAGACATCTGTATTGCACGAATGGACATTCTCTCTCTGCACGAACAGACACACTGACTGCACATACAGACACATCCCTATAGGAACAGACATGACATGCACCTCCCCTGGCGAACAGGTATGACCTTCAAACGATGACTGTTCGTCCAGGGTTCAATCATGACCTTTGGCAATGACTTCTTGCTTTAGTTTAGATGTGCCCTTTGACCTAGAGAACTTGACCTTTGATCTGCTTTCACGTTTTGGGTACTGGGCGAGTGACCCCTTTATGCTGCATTTGCCGAACAGGGTCTGAATCGGGTAAAAGGCCCTTCTATGTTGCTCTAATGTGGTATAAATGCATAATTGGGGATTTACGATAGAGACATTGTACAAAAGAAGATAGGTTAGGATGATGCAGCTGAACTCCATTCTCTTTCTTCTAAAAGGCATTCCACGATGCAGACCCCAAATCCGAATTTCAGGGTCAAGGTCCAAGGCCAAGGGAGGCCAAGTCGGTCAGTTTCAAAAAAGTCACAGTCGGGTTTGTGCACAACACACTCCAACGCTTGTTCCCTTTATGACAGAGAGACCGGAGTGGGCAGCATTGATTACTTCCATTCTCGAAGGATGTACCTACGGTAACCGATCTCTTAATCACAAATTGACTAGCATTTCTTTTTTTTTTCCAATTTCGTGTCTGAGATTGAACAGCGTATTGTTGCTGTAATGTGGTATATAGTATATACTATATACTATATGCATAATTGAGGATTTACAATAGATACATTATACGAAAGAAGGTAGGTTAGGATGATGCAGCTGAACGCCTCTTTCTTCTGAAAGGCATTCCACGATGCAGACCCCAAATTAGAATTTCAGGGTCAAGGTCCTAGGCTAAGGGAGGCCAAATCGGTCAGTTTCAGAAAAGTCACAGTCGGGTACCTTAGGAGTCAAGTCCAACAGGCACCCGGTAAACAGTCACATCCCAGAGGCAAAAGTTGCCTTCTATAAGCAAAAGTCACGTCTC